CTATCTATGGCCTTCAAAAAGTTGACGACTCCACATGTTTCGACGTTACAAGGTCATCCTCAATAGTGTGGAGTCGTCAACTTTTTGAAGGCCATAGATAGGCCTAAATAAAATGTTTTTAATTGTGTACCAGTTTAGCGTTGAATATTATTTACGATTTTAACTTTATACACAAGTGCCAAAATACTATAATTAGCAGTAAACACATTCTCAATCAGATCAGACAGATATAATCTAACAATGATATTACCAGTAATAAAAACATGTATTTTTGTTAAAAACAAAACAATCCAAGATCAAAACTGAAAGCTGTAATTGAAAGTTCGACAATAAAATCTAAATAATAACAAGAATCATCACAAAATAGCCTCATTGTAGTTTCATGCAGATCTGAAAGGATATCGTTATGAAAATCGTTTCTTGATAATTCTACCTTTTAGTTTGTGATCTGGTTGTATAAAATAATAAAACATTCCAGATCAAAGTGACATATTTACATACAAAACAGAATAGTACAGATTTTAAAAATACATTAATCATTGGTAGAGCTAAACAGTATGGTTAGCGTACGCGTGCAGACTCCAAGAGTAAAAAAAAAAAAAAAATCCCTTAATTTTCCGTGTTTGGTTTCTTAACTTTTGGGATAATTCTCAATATTTCCCACTTTGCATAGTGTCGGTACCATACTATATAATTATATGTTAGTTAGTGGTTGAATAATGTTTCTTGAAAACATAATGAACCAACATTTATAGCCTTGAACTCCAAACACTGGAGGCCCGTGACTTGTTACTTATATGACCTTCTGGAGTGGAAGTTAACGCGTGATTCATAATGACTGCGAGGCAGGGGTGGATAAAGGCGGGTGCTATGGGGCTTTAGCCCCAGGCCAGTCTGACCCTTAATCCGCTCCTGATGTGAGGAACGGATAAACTCAGAGAAAAGTCCGGATGCGGTCGCCAGTTGAACCGCTCTTGTTAAAAAGTAACATTAGAACTAATAAAAACTAGTGTTAGGGTTAATGAAAATTAACGTCAGGGCTAATAAAAGGTGACGTTAGGGATAATAAAAAGTAACATTAGGACTAATAAAAACTTGTGTTAGGGTTAATGAAAATTAACGTCAGGGCTAATAAAAGGTGACGTTAGGGATAATAAAAGTAACATTAGGACTAATAAAACTTGTGTTAGGGTTAATGAAAATTAACGTCAGGGCTAATAAAAGGTGACGTTAGGGATAATAAAAAGTAACGTTAAGGTCAATAAAACATAACGTTAGGATTAATGAAAAGTAACATTAGGACTAATAAAAACTAGTGTTAGGGTTAATGAAAATTGACGTCAGGTATAACGAAAAGTACAGTTAAGGCTAATGAAAAGTAACGTTAGGGTCAGAGATAAGTAACGTTCAGATCAATAAAACATAACGTTAGGATTAATGAAAAGTAACATTAGGACCAATAAAAACTAGTGTTAGGGTTAATGAAAATTAACGTCAGGTATAACGAAAAGTACAGTTAAGGCTGATGAAAAGTAACGTTAGGGCTAATAAAAGGTAACGTTAGGGATAATAAAAAGTAACGTTAAGGTCAATAAAACATAACGTTAGGATTAATGAAAAGTAACATTAGGACCAATAAAAACTAGTGTTAGGGTTAATGAAAATTAACGTCAGGTATAATGAAAAGTAACGTTAGGGTCAGAGATAAGTAACGTTAAGGTTAATAAAACGTAACGTTAGGATTAATGAAAGTAGCATTAGGACTCATAAAAAGTAATGTTAGGGATAAAAAGCATATTCGCAATAGCAACAGAATGATCAAAAATTAAACTCACCTTAAACGTTGTTAAAAATTCTTGCTGTCGGGTGATGTCAGTAGCTAGAATCAGAGACCTCACCTGAAATTCAACGTCGTCACTGAAAAAAAAAAGAAATACATATTATTCTGGGTCAAAATTAATACAGAAAAGATAAAAAAAAGAAGGTAAAAACGTATACAACAAAAGATGGTAATGATAAAGAGATATTTTAATGTTCACAACGTTTTAGGGCGAAGTACCCTTCCTGTGGTGATTTTAAACTTTAATGTAACAGAAGTTTTGATAGAACAAAACGTTAACATTTGAAATGAACAAAATATCTAAAAAAAACTAAACACATGAATCACTGGCAAATCAATAATGTTTAAAAATTAGGATAATATTAACACATACATATATATATACATACATGGTTACAACTAAAACTATAAACACGAATCACTGGCAAATCAATAATGTTTAAAAAATGGGATAATATTAACACACACACATATATATATATACATAGTTACAACTAAAACTATAAACACGAATCACTGGCAAATCAATAATGTTTAAAAATTAGGATAATATTAACACATACATATATATATACATTTATTTCCTTCAGGTGGATGGTACCAAACCGACAGAGTGAATTATATCTGTATTGTGGTCTAGTATTCTGAAACAGCTGATGTTATGGTCATGATCACTGAGATATTTAGCTACAGATTTGTTTGGACCACAATTCTGGATGTTAGGATGTGTCCAAACAACATTCGACCTGTTTTTCCTACGAACAGTTGTCCAGAATACAAGGATGTACACGTGAAGAACTGTTTGATTGGGTAGGACGAGTTGGGTCCAAGTACTGGTGTTGATGTAACATTACAAACTGTAAAGGTTATAGGTTAAACGTAACTAGTAACGTATCATGTTACATATCGTAAGTTTACATATGATTACCACTAGGTGACCACAACCAGTTAACCAGGTTTACCAAACTGTAAATATTAAAGGTAAAACGTAACTACTAACGTATCATGTTACATACAGTAAGTTTACATATGATTACCACTAGGTGACCATAACCAGTTAACCAGGTTTACCAAACTGTAAATATTAAAGGTAAAACGTAACTAGTAACGTATCATGTTACATACAGTAAGTTTACATATGATTACCACTAGGTGACCACAACCAGTTAACCAGGTTTACCAAACTGTAAATATTAAAGGTAAAACGTAACTACTAACGTATCATGCATATAATTACCACTAGGTGACCACAACCAGTTAACCAGGTTTACCAAACTGTAAATATTAAAGGTAAAACGTAACTAGTAACGTATCATGTTACATACAGTAAGCTTACATATGATTACCACTAGGTGACCACAACCAGTTAACCAGGTTTACCAAACTGTAAATATTAAAGGTAAAACGTAACTAGTAACGTATCATGTTACATACAGTAAGGTTACATATAATTACCACTAGGTGACCACAACCAGTTAACCAAACTGTAAATATTAAAGGTTAAACGTAACTAGTAACGTATCATGTTACATACAGTAAGTTTACATATAATTACCACTAGGTGACCATAACCAGGTAACCAGGTTTACCAAACTGTAAATATTAAAGGTAAAACGTAACCACTAACGTATCATGTTACATACAGTAAGTTTACATATGATTACCACTAGGTGACCATAACCAGGTAACCAGGTTAACGAAACCCTAAGTCTCACGGTGGGTGACGGGGAAGTTTATGGAATGTACAAACGAAAGAAATGAGGGGTTCGATTCCACGCGGTCGACAGAGCAGATAGCTCAATGTGACTTTGCTGTAAAACAACCCACTAAAACCTAAACAAACAAGTTCTGTAACGAATGAACGATTTAAATAACTTACAACTAATTAGAGAACTCAGTTCATTCGAATAAAAAAATATTCATCATTTTCTATATCGAGATAGCCATGAAATAAAATAACTTTTAGGACTCGAAACTGAATGTTTTAAACATGTTACAACAGTAAAGACGTGGCAATGAGCCAAATCTACTTGTTAGATAATAATGACAAAGTTATATTCAAATATAGAACAAAATTGACAACATACTTATTTGTACACCTGTCTGTGCGATATTTATGCTTACATCTACATCTGTGTATCGTGCGTCTGCCCGTGTCCATTTCATAGCCACGTAGTTTCTGTGTATTTTGAAAGATGATTTAAGCCTGTGACAATAGAAGGTTTAGTAATGTTGAACGTTAAAACGGTCTTGCATGCTATTTTTTCACGAGGAAAAAAGACATCCGTAAAAGACACTTTATGTGACTGATGAATAAACATCCCGTCTGTTTCATTCTTAAGATGTCTGACTGAGTCACCTTCAACACCTATTGTGTTTACTTTTCCTCTTTTTGCCGTATTTTTTGACAACGCATAATCACGTGATTATATTTAAGCAGTTGTCCTACAAATTTGAAAATGTAATGTTTATTTTTTTATTTTTAGTGAGTCATGTTTAACAAATCCGTTTAGGAAAGTATATAAATACTGCATCTTTCAGACTTGTCTCTCACATCGATAAGCAACAGTTCCAACCAGATCAACGTAAAACAAAGTAGCCAGTTATGAAGAAAACAATAGTTTTACTGATCGTGGTAGCACTGATCTCAATGGTGGTTTCTCGCAGACAAGGTGGTAGGGGTGGTAGAGGAGGAGGCCAAGGAATGGGTGGTGGAATGGGAGGAAGAGGAGGTGGTCAAGGAATGACTGGAGGTGGTCAAGGAATGACTGGGGGTGGTCAAGGAATGACTGGGGGTGGTCAAGGAATGACTGGAGGTGGTCAAGGAATGACTGGAGGTGGTCCTAATTATCAAACTGGTGGATGAACTGGGAACAGTGGGGTAAGACTAACTAGAAAGTATATTAAAATGTGAAAAAAACTAAACAAACAACAATTATTGAAAAATACATATTTAATTATTACTAAGATGTATCTCAGTATCTGTCACTAGTGAGCAACTTAATCTTACATTACAAATGACGTCCAACAAAATACAGATGTAAACGATAAACACGAGTGTCTCTTCTGTTATCCCAATTGACTTCTGCCGTGTATTTTCATCAAATGTTCACAGAAACGCCAGTATTAAACCTGGGCTCGAAACGATTCCTAACTGAGTTTTTCCTCTTTAAAACAGACGTGAGTTTAAAACGTTTCGCAACCTCGTTTTCCTGGGAAATGAAACGTGGTTTCCAAACGTTTCCCAAATTGCTTTTCCTTCAGTGTATCTTAAATATAACTTTTACTAGCTATTCATAGGACACAACTGCATATCAAATTCGACCAATTAGAGCACACCAACATTCAGTGATCATTGCACTGGCTGGTAAACAGAATCGCGGATTCGAGTCCTGCCTTAAGTCTCTCCGCCACAAACAAACCAAAATATATCATATATTAATATCTCTACAATTAGTTCAGTATTATTCATAAAATGATCTCAGGTGCGCCCTCTAGTGTGAAACAAAAGTAACCTTCTGAATATTTAATAGTGATACATTATACCTTGAAGGTTGTTTGTTGATACATATATTAATATCTCTACAATTAGTTCAGTATTATTCATAAAATTATTTCAGGTGCGCCCTCTAGTGTGAAACAAAAGTAACCTTCTGAATATTTAATAGTGATACATTATACCTTGAAGGTTGTTTGTTGATACATATATTAATATCTCTACAATTAGTTCAGTATTATTCATAAAATGAT